CCTGTATTGTGGAGGCAGTTTACAAACATAAATTGCACAAGGACAAACATCCAAACCCGGAACAATTATTTGTAAGACATATAAATACTTGTTCCGTGTGGGATTCGAATTCACGACCAAGCGCCGCAACTCTGCGCCACAGAGCCATCAATATAATGTCCAAAAACATAAAACTAATTATGAAAAAAAATTATAATACCATTATACGCCACCGCTTGACTATCCCACCTGATGGTAAGTGGTGATGCAGTTGAATATGGTAAAGCGCACTGGCTTAGCTTAACAAAACGTATTCACTCTTGCCTTGAAGACACCCACATTATAATCAGATGAAAGGACAGATGCTCGCAAATTATTCCACTCCTTTGCTGTACGCATTAGGAAAGACAAAGCAAACTGTTTGATTCGAATGCGTAGTAAGTCGACAATAAATAGGTGGAGACTAGCCAATCGTTTGGTGGTCCGATATTGGAATGAAGATGGAGGAACTTGTTAACAGTGGTAGAGCCACGCGGCAGGTTTTGGTGTCGCACGGATGGGCCGGCTCGAACCGGGGTAGTACCACGACCTCACAGAAAACCAGCGTGAAGTAGAGGTTTACCTCTGCGTTTCGCTTGGTGAGTGCAGGTGGCCGGAAGCCCTTTTTACTGGAAATGAGGCATTCCATCTTAGTCCTCACGGGTGACAACGCATCTACATTTTGATTTGTAACAGAGGATAGATGTAGATGTCTATGGCCCGCTGCAACCACTTACCATCAGGTGGACTGTATGCTCTTTTGTCACCCTTATCCTATAAAAAAAAAGGGAAGAATGGAATATAATAATTTTTATTCAATATAGGTTACATGTAATTATTATTGAAAGTCATTTTTTACTTTTACCACTGACCCGAAAAAAAAACGAAACCCAGCGGGACTTTTTCAAAGCATAATTTTTGCGCGATATGTGCGATTCTCTAAGGCTGCTTCACCACTTACCACCAGGTAGGATTGTAGTCAAGCCCTGGCTTATAATAAGTAAAAAAAAAATTACAAAATAGTATTCATACAATTGTTATGAAAACATTCAAAAACGGTATGGTTGCGATCACCTCATTCCCAGGGTTTATTATCAATCATGTACTCTTTAGTAGTATAATAACCCTTACTAGACAATAAATATTTTAAACCGTTTGATAGACAAGTTCTTGCATATTTTACGGAAATGTTGTAAAAGCGTATACATTTTTTAAATTACTGACTATTTGGGAGTTGAGTAACTGGTATAACTGACATGTACTTGTTCCTTGTATTTACAAAACGCACATCACTATTTTTAATAAAACTATTTTTGTTTTTATGTACATACATTATTAAATTTTTGTAAATATATTGAGAGGCCAAAGTTAATACTATAATTATTTCTTTAAATTTTTCTGTAAGGGATTCCTTCGTATCTAGGTCATAAATCGCTCTTATGGCTCTCTTATGTAAAACAAAGATAGTTTCAATGTCAGTCGCATTACCTCATAGCAAGATTCCATATGACATTATGCTATGGAAATAACTAAAATAAACTAATCTAGCTGTTTCAACACATGTAAGGCCTCGTAATCTTTTTTACGGCATATGCTGCAGAACTAGGTTTGATCAATTTGATTATATCAATGTTATGTTTCAGGACGTAACTGTAAAAGGCCAGTACCTAACTACACCGGCGGTAATGTCGAACCTATCCATCGAGTTACAGTATTCGGACTACGAGACCGAATATCTAAAGCTGAATTCTATTCTAATGGACAATTCGAATGGACCGATCAGAGACTACAAGTTCGCGCTGACCTGCACACATCCGTCCACGAACTTGGCCCTGGACATGAAATCTGATATAAATATACACAGCAAATGGTACTACATGACCACGTTCTACAGATTCCAAAAGTCGCTGTTTTATGAGAAGTTGCGACAACATAAAATGCTGATCGATATGAACAACAGTGCAGTTAACTGGGAGGTAATGTTTACTTTGTTATTCGTCACCATCATCATAATCATCATTAGCCCTTCACAAGTCCACTGTTGAACATAGGCCTCCCTTAAGGAATGCAACAGAGCACGGTCCTCTGTCACGGTCGCTTCATCTAGTTGTTGTGTATATATATATATATATATACATATACAGGGTATTTTTGGAACGCTCCCGAAAACTAAGACAGACGACAGTACCAACTATACCTTTCATGATGGGTGGAATATAAAATCGATTCTGATGAAAGAAAAATCATCTTTTCACAACGTTTTATTAGCTTTATTTATTCTCTATCATGTTAGAACAGCTAAATGAAACGATAATTTCATAAAAAAAAATCATGAAAATACTAAAACATAAAACCAGCAGTGGAATTACTGAATTGATATCAGCTGATGTACGCGCGAACGCTGAAAAAAGAACGCTGGCCTTGAACCTGGGCACTGAGCGATTTATGAGTGAGTGGTACGAAGGGGCCGCGACGGGGGAACAATCCGCCAGTATTACTGTGGCCGTACACTATTGGTTCCCGCACTTTGTTCGCTCCCAAAATACAGTCGCATACACAGCTTACTTTGCGACTCGCGACGATGGTATTAAAAAGGAAGAGAAGAAAAATTATTTATATCTATTGTTTTATGACTGAACTAGTGAACGAAAAGGTAAATATTATAGGAGAAGGTGAATGGGGAAAATTGTGCAGTAAAGTTGAAAGTGTTGAGGAAGAATACCGAAAAAATTACCATGTGATCGACCTGATGACGGAAGCTCAAGCGAAGATGAAGGTGATGTTGAAGTAGCATCCAGTAACATCAACACACCATCAACATCTGGCTTCCATGTGACCCAAGACGACATAATGGACGGCGTGTCACCCTTAACTAAAGTTTTCTTGTTACAAACTACTTTATATTTTACGATAAAAATAACAAATAATGCTCAAGTAAATATTATCCATTTTTAATTCCAACCTTTTCCAAAGTTCTAAGTAGCTATTAAAACACCTATTATGATTCTACAATAAAACAATTAATTACTATAATATTATAAAACAATAGCTTTACTTAGCCGTAGTACTTTAGAACGCGACTGTACCCATGCGCAGACACTCCCTCCACTGACATTTAGTTTGCCGGCGACAATAGAATTAGAGGCGGCAATCACTATAAAACTTGCAAGTCATTTTTAATAATAATTTACGTACCTCTTTCTAAATTCAAAGTATTGGCCGGATTAAATACGGAAAGTCAATTAAAATAAAGTAAAAGTATTATTTTTTACATTAATTCTGTTAGATTAATCAATTGTCGATCATAATTGCAATTGATTTTAACTATTAAATTCATCATCATCATTACAGCCCTTCACAAGTCCACTGCTGAACATAGGCCTCCCCCAAAGAATGCCACAAAGCACGGTCCTGAGCCACCTGCATCCATCGACTTCCTGCATATCTTACCAGGTCGTCACTCCATCTAGTGGGGGGACGCCCTACTCTTTGCCTGCCGGTACGAGGCTGCCACTCGAGAACCTTTCTTCCCCATCGGTTGTCGGTTCTTCGAGCTATATGGCCGCCCCATTGCCACTTCAGCTTACTAATCCGTTAAATTATTAAATTATTCAGTACCATTTCATTTCTATTTTCTTATACAAAATCAAAGATAACGATGAAATAGTGTTTATAATTGTGTGAGTACTGAGTAAGTACCCAATTAGGTACGTTTATTAATTTCAATAATTTTTGTAGTAAAGAACTGCTTGTTGCGTCATGGTACAATTGATTGTGTAATTGTATTAAAAATGACAACCATAACTTTTAAATTCCATATGAAGACTAGTCGTAGGGATAAATAAATAAACGTTGGCGATGTCTTAACATACATAACGCTTTAACGGTGTGTGGAAAGTTCCAGTGCTTCAAGGACATTGCCTTATGTGCGCATTTGTTTTAGCGGAATAAATTAATAATTTTAGTTTTTGTTACACTTCCGTGTTGACTGTCACGAGAGACAGTACAATTTTTTGTTTATTAAATTATTCTTGTTATTTATTACTTTATTATTCTTGTCGTTGCGGTTTAAGTTTCTTGTTTTGTTTTTATAATGCCTAACGCGTACGTTTATAGTGCTCGCGAATACGGCAACATGTTAATGTGTCTTGGAGACGCTCGCGGGAATGCTTCGCATGCATTGCGAATTTATCGAAAGAAATTCCCCACCGCTCGACATCCAGCTGACTCTCGGCTGATAACAGCAGCATTTCAGCGAGTGTTGGAAAATCGGCCCATTGCTCTGGTAGCGGCAGGAGGTGGAAGTCAAATGGCTGTTCACTTAGAGGAAATTCGCCGGAATCCGAACCTAGGTACACGAAGTATCGCTCAATTGTTAAGGCGTCGGGATGGAACAAGTGTGTCATACTGTAGAGTTCACAAAGTGTTAAAGCGTAACCGAATGCGCCCATACAAAGTGTACAAAGTGCAAGCGATAGTTACCGGCGATCACGACCGCCGGCGAGTTTTCTGCCGTTGGTTATTAGACCAACAACAACGTGTGCCTGGTTTCATTGAGCGCGTCATTTGGACGGACGAGTCGACATTTACCAGAAACGGCCTGTGGAACCGAAAAAATACACACGTGTATTCCGAGGTTAACCCGCACTCTGTTTGACAAACCGGACACCAAACCCGATGGTCGGTTAACGTATGGGCAGGTTTATTTAAGAATCGCATACTAGGACCAGTGTTTCTGACACAGCGACTTAATGGACAGCGATACCTGAACTTCATAATAGGCGACCTATCGTTGGCTGAATATCGCCGCACATGGTTCCAGCATGATGGTGCCCCTCCACATGTCGTGAGGTTCGCCCGTGAGCGCCTCAATGAGCTATTTGATGATCGCTGGATCGGTAGACTAGAACCACACGCTTGGCCACCTCGCTCACCAGATCTGACCCCGTTGGACTTCTTTCTGTGGTGGTATATGAAAGAAAGGGTTTTTAATCGTGAGTGTGATAGTGCTGACGTAATGCGCCAAAGGATCGTGGATGTTTTCGACAAACTACGTACGGACTGTGTCGAAGAACACACGATGATGCCCCGCCTGCATGAGGAGACGCAACACCGAGCCCAAATCTGCCTCGAAATGAATGGATCACAATTTGAGCCGCATCTCATAAGACCACGGAGGATTTAGAGCGGTAACCTGTTTCATAACTATTTTTTTTTAAATAACTTAGTACTGAACTAATCTGAATAGGTACATAACTGAATACATGAGAATAATAAACATACCTACACGATGAATAAAAACGCGCTAACCTTGGTTACATTTCATTTAAGTATTTTTTCATTAGCGGGGAATCGAACCAGTTATTGGGTTATTTAACCTGTAAATTCGGATTAAAGTGGCTACATGGAGTCAAGCACAGTGGAAAAAAGTAGGTTAAGTAGATAAGTTAGATATTTAGTATTTAGATTTAGTGTTGTAAATTATTAGGTATTGTGGTATGGCCCACTAGTTGCGGGCCGCGCGAATTCGCGTTCGCGCGTACATTGACCTCTAGCCAGCTGATATCAATTCAGTAATTCCACTGCTGGTTTTATGTTTCAGTATTTTCATGATTTTTTTTTTATGAAATTATCGTTTCATTTAGCTGAACTATCATGATAGAGAATGAATAAAGCTAATAAAACGTTGTGAAAAGATGATTTTTCTTTCATCAGGATCGATTTTATATTCCACCCATCATCAAAGGTATAGTTGGTACTGTCGTCTGTCTTAGTTTTCGGGGGCGTTCCAAAAATACCCTATATATATATACACATATATTCCTATAGCGCTGTGCCCGACCGATTAAGCTAGACAACAAAGATAGACAGCTGCAACTCGGGCTTATTAAAAAATTGACGAAATCTCCTGTGTTCTATTTCCTCCTATAAAACTAAAACGAAAATTTATATTATAGATGATATAAATAAAATATTTTCTATTTAAATAACAAAATAGTTTCTAGCTTAGTTTAAATTCGCTTTCTTAGTTTAAATTCAGTTTTTTTAGATTATTCAAGATATTTTAAATAAAGGAATGTGATTACAAAGTAAAGTTACAGCCTATATACGTCCCACTGCCGTGCACAGGCCTCCTCTCATTTATGAGTGGGTTTTAGGCTAAGGAAATGCGAAGTATCACAATCTCAAAGTCAAAACAGTGACATTATAAATTTTATCCCCTATCTTACCACTGCCAATTACATTCACAACACATTCAATTCCTATCTCCACTCTTAATTAAGTGACTATCCGCAGCGCGCAAACGAAACGTACTACTATAAGGTGAACGGTTCTTGGGAGCTGGTGTATCCATTTTATAAAGTGAAGGGTCTCGTGTTACATCCTAACGGTAACGACACAGTATTTGGTGAGCTGTCTATGGCCGACAAATCACTGATAGCTCACTACAATAGCACGGATGGTAAGTTTTTTTTTTATATATTCCAAATACACAAAGATACATACATAAAGTTTTAGTAGTAAATGAATAAAATTTGAAGAAGCGCCACCTAGCGTCTTGAATCAGATTATTATAGAAGAGTGTATTTACACCTTTTTATGTATATAACAATTTCATTTTGCTAATTTATAATATTTAACTAGTTTTTCTAAGACGATTGTTACGATGTTGATATATTCTCTGAAATCCCTTGATTAAAAAGTATCTAGGAACGCGATCATTTCATATACTGTAATATACATACTGTAAATATACCAGATTCGAAGGTATCTCTTAACTAATCGTGTTTTTGTCTTCAGATATCTCTTACCACTTAATCGGTAAGATCGTAGATACTCGATCCGCGAAACTAAACGCTTGGCGCGATTTTGATGACGTAACAACCGTCGATTTGGCTTCATACATTCGTCTGAACCATTCCCGCCTTCTAACCAGCTCTATAATATGGCGACCTCAAATATTCAGCGAGATCAAATCACAAGCTCTCTACACATTGAAGTTTTTATATTCGCAAGTGAATGAAACGCTAATGATAATTAAAGAAGCGCCAATGGAATCTCACCTGGCGTTGCGAGCCATTTGGATCGACGCTAAACCGCGCATCAGAGATTTCTTGGACGATCTGAACGACTTACACGTAATCAAGGACGATTTAGATGAATTCGAACGCTTCCTAAACGAGTCGTACAACAACAATGACTTCTATGTGAAGGATGTTGTTGAGTTCACGTACTATGTGCTAGACGAAATGGCAATAAGAAACCATTTAGAGAGCTTGCCCGGCTTCGTGAACGACATGTGGGGAATGATGGGCAACACAAGCCAGTCTATCAAGCAAAGCCTGACGTACATCGTTGATACTATCAAAATGGCGTATTCGAACTTTTTAGAATCCGTCAATAAGGTGCTAGAGGCAGATTTTATGGAATTGGTCTCGGAAAGACTTGAAGCAATGATTTTGCAGTACGACAACTTTGTTAGAGATCTGCACATGAAACTTCTGGAGTATTGGGAGGAAACCTGGGTGAATGCGACAACGAGATTATCAATTTATTGGCATGAGTTATTAAAATCGATCGAGCCGTTGTTCTTTAAAATATTACATTACACGGAATCCTTTGTATTCACGGTATGGAAGGGCGTTATGGATTTCTTCTACAACAGAACTCAGGAGTTGACTGATTCGCCATATTTCAATTACGTATCGACTTTCGGACACGAGATGGATAAGTAAGTTGCACAGTTTAACAAATAATATATATATACCTAGTATATAGTTATACCTACGTAATTATTATATTTTATTTTTTAATTTATAATATTGGCTATGTAATAAAACTTGACTTCCTGCGCATAGCATAGCAAACAAAATTCAAAGTTTAGGCAAGTTTTAACAGTGGTAGAGCCACGCAGCAGCTTTTGCTGTCGCACGGATGGGTCGGCTCGAACCGGGGTGGTACTACGACCTCACAGAAAACCAGCGTGAAGTAGAGGTTTACCTCTGCGTTTCGCTTGGTGAGTGCAGGTGGCCGGAGGCCCTTTTTACTGGAAATGAGGCATTCCATCTTAGTCCTCACGGGTGACAACGCATCTACATTTTGATTTGTAACAGAGGATAGATGTAGATGTCTATGGGCCGCAGCAACCACTTACCATCAGGTGGACTGTGTGCTCGTTTGTCACCCTTATCCTATAAAAAAAAAAGTTGCCACCATCATTGAAAAATTTTAAAGCTTAGTACAGCGTGTGCATTTGGTCGGAAAAGTTGTATTTTAACAATGGACTGGACCAATGATGCTGTTATCGATTTAATTTTAATTAACATTACTTTATTTAACTTCAATGAAACAAATATTATAATTTTATTAAACATTAAGAAACAGTCGTGTTGAGGCGGCGCGGCGTAAGTAATTCCAGCCTCCCGTATTGTGCAATAATCAACAATATACGATGTTGTTGATTAAGTTTAGAATGATTAAGGATTAGATTAGAAACGAACAAATAAGGTTTTTTAAGCCGAAGATAATAAATCACTGTCTTAGGGTAACAAAAGTCGACTTACTGTTCCATTAAATTTACTACTTTTTATAAATCTCTTAAGAAATGTATTACTTACATGGTAGAGCCATGCTGCAGCTGTATTAGTGGTATAGTTGTAGAACGAATGGTTCGGCGCGATCGAGGAAGGATAACGCCCTCACATAATACCAGCGTAAAATATCAGCGTACCGCTGCTGTGTTTCGTATGGTGAATGTAGAGAACCGGAGACCCTTTTTACTGGAGGCATTCATCTTAGTCCTCGCGGATGACAACGCATCTGCATTTTAATTCGCAATCGATGATAGATGTAGATGTCTATAGGCCACAGCAACCACTTACCATCAGGTGGACTGTGTGCTCGTTTGTCACACTTACCCTATAAAAAAAAAATATTTTCTATATCTTCTCATAAACAAAAAAACATGTGTGCAGTTCACACGCGGTAGAAATGAAACCTTCAGAAAACTACGCTTCGAGAGAATGAGACGAATGCAGAGATCAACAATAAGATAATTTTAGGGTTTATAATTTATTATAATATTGATACCCAGTTTAATTTTTTAAATTATATTGTATTCTACATATATTACGTTACATATTATATAGACTCAAAGTTTTCAGTTTTTACGATTACTTACACTTTATTGTATCTCATTCTCTCGCAGGCTAAGGCACTGCGCAAACGTAGACACTTTTGTGTTTTGAGTGGGACACAAGCTACCAGTGAATATTTCATTTTTATCAATATGAAATCAGCCATTCTTTGCGCAGACGCAGATACTTTTTGTGTTTATGCTTCCACATGACAGATAACGATCGCCAATCAAAAAATGTTCGGTGTAGGTAACTGGAAACTTTAAGTCGACAGTTGAAAAGACACAAGCAACACAAAGCAAATTTCGTTACAATTGTAACTAATTAAAAAATTTAAATTGTACAATTTACGGCGCTGATGTTGATGTGGTTGATTTGCCTGTAAATATTAACGGCAACGACGTCTACGTCGACGTGTAGTCAATACAACAAGTTAAGGTAGTGTTTCTTCGTCGACATTCATCGTGAAACTGACGGAAAACAAGCACCGAATTGTTATCAGTGTTCAGAAGTAGCAACTGGCGGCTGTGTCCGATTGCCGCTAGCGGACACATCAACTACGGTTTCCTGCGATGGTGTGCCGTGTCTGTAGCAAATAGTGTCCACGTTTGCGCAGCGCCTAAATCCTATAGATGTATACGTTCGTCTCTTTTTAGTGTAGCCTTTTCGTTTCATAGAATTTCAAATCACAACGATTGTAAAGGGCTTTTCACCTCAAAAATATAAATCGGCTATTTGGATGTTACATTTTTATTACCAAAACATATTGTTTTACTTCTTAAGGATATACAAAGACTTAGTGAACAACGATCTCATAACCAACATTAAGAAGTACAGTAAAAAGCTTTGGAACGTGGTGTGGAGCAAGATAGAGAAGTACATACCGTTTAAAGACGAGTTTAAGCAGCTGTTCGCCGAGTTCAGGAATGCCTGGGAAAACTTCTTGAAGACGCCTCAAGTCGTTTACGTTATCGAAAAGGTATGTAGTTATAATTTACTTACTACCTACCTAGTTTACAAAGTAAAAAAAAGTTGAAAAGTTTAGTTGGTAAATATACCAAAAGGCTAAAGGGTATTGCTTTTTTGAATTTTGTCTGAAAGATCACAAATACATATTACGCCATTTTTTTTATTAATCCACAGATATCGTTGTAGTCAAAGTTAACAATCAGCATTCTGCGATTATATAACGAACTTTCATTTTTATTTTACAGTACAATGAAGCGTACGTACGACTGAAGTGGTGGTATGACTACTTCTTGATAGGCGAGGCCTTGGAAAAAGTATGGGAGATATTGTATGCAAAGCTCACCGACATGGCTAAAACGGCGCTCCAATATGAAGAGTTGTGAGTATACATTAATAAATATAATACCTAGCAATCAAATTATGGCAGTTTAAGTATTATCAATTCGCAAAACTATGAAGTCGTGGTCTAGTAATAATTTTCAAATACTTTGATCATTTATTAAATATAGACACAAAATTTATGAAAATTGTCTACTTTTCACGTTTGGTTACCTCAACTTATCCCCTTTATGCTTGTTCTTAAAGCTGAAAGTTTATTTTCATATTATTAATTAGAATCTCGATATAACATTACATAAACTCTCCTGCCTGTCACAATACACACGATAGTACATTAGTATGAGGGACTTAACGCACTAACTTTACACGTTTTAATAATCGGCTACTTAAGTTCCGTGTATTATACATTATTTTGTAGTACAAGTCACTTAAAACGGCTTTTTAATTGAAAAATTGTAGAGTACTAAGTGATTATAAAGACAAAAATGTTCTTTCTGAGAATTCTAGATCTAAAATATAACATCATATCCGAATAAAAAAGTTTTGTTATTAAATACAGAGAAATGATTAAAAATACAGTTCAAGCTAAAAATTTACAAAAATTTAAATGGCACTATATCAAGTATTATTTTATATTTCTTGATCAAATGATTAAATGTTTCGTTTGTAATTTAAAGTATTCTAATTGATGTTACTAATTAAAGTTCTATTGTTCTGTATTTATTATTATGATTCCATTAATGTTTAAAACATTTTTTTAATTATATAATATTATAAATTTCATGCGTGACTTAAGTAAAACATACCGTACAATAATCGGCTAGTTAAGTCCCGCATGAGCGTGACTTAAACGTTGCTTTTAGTCACCGTGTACTATAAATAATAGATAATAATGTGTACGTCATAAATCACACACACACACACACACACACACACACACACACACACACACACACACACACACACACACACACACACACACACACACACACACACACACGCACGCACACACGCACACACAGACACACACACACACACACGCGCGCGCGCACACGCGCACACACGCACACACGCACACACGCACACACGCACACACGCACACACGCGCACACGCGCGCGCGCGCGCACACACACACACACACACACACACACACACACACACACACACATAATATGTATATACGTTGCACAATTACGGGAGTTAAAAATGAACTAACTCAAAGTTATGAAGATCTAAGCCGTGATACCCAAAATTCCCACTAAGAATCTAGAAAGTTCTTTATCTGCTTTTAACCGTACTTATTGTATTAATCGTTCTTCCACCATCTAAAAACTTATTAAGGCCTGTTATTTTTCAGACACCGTACACCGAAAACTAACTTCATATTCGACCCTCACGTAGGCGAAATCCGTCTAGAGCAGAAGCTGCCGATGTCCTGGCACGCGTTCAACCGCACGCCGGACTTCTCCGAGATCGCGGAGTACCGAGCTGTGAGGGACTTTATGGACGACTGGCTCACTTCCAACAGGAGCATCTGGTCTTACTATTACGAGATACGACCCTATTTGGACCTTGATAATATCGTGCCACCCTTCACCGGTGAGTACGATTCGTTTTATTATTTTAAATTAACTGCAGTTTTTAACAGTTTTACTCTTAAGATGCCGTTATGGTTGACAAAATAAATAATTTGTTTGATGGCATTAAAAAGTCTTTACTTCACTACTGCCTGTGGTTGTTGTAATACTTCAATTAAAAATATTATGCAATAATGTTATTCCAACGACAAACAAATATTTCGCCAACAGATGGCAAAACAAAAAATAAAATTCACAGATCAAAATTATTTAGGGCGAGTCGAATATTTACCTAAGTTTTGGGAGTTTGTATCATGAGAGTTAGTAATATTGGAGAAGAAGCTACTATAATTTTCCTAAAGTCTCTTGTGAAATCCGTCTCGAAGGACTAAAAGAATAGCTTATTATAAATGGTTAAGCAGACTTCTGAAAGCTCACAACAAATCTAGCAATAACATAACAGCAAACAGTTTTCAACAAACAGTATTTAAGAAAAATGGCAGTGTCCAAGCCTTCTAATCCATAGATAGCACCAGCATCAACTTAGCTATTGTTATTCACGGTACCAGAAAATGAGGGAGAAGTTTAGTCTATGCTAAACGTGGCGATTACTTTAAGTATAACTGAAATCATAACTTATGACGGTAAAAAACGTTCACTTTACAGGGCTGGCAATGATGACAGCGCAAGGAACTCTCGTGACGTTTGATAAGCGAGTGTTCACTATATGTGAAGGCGGCACCTTCCTGCTCACGAAGGACTACCGCAATAACAACTTCACAGTGCTCATGGAGAGCAATGAACAGGGCCTGTACGATCTGGTCGTGCTGGCCAAGAAGAACTTGATATACGTCGACTTGTACAAGGAGGTAAGCCGAAATATCGATATTTATGATCAAAACACCTACATACTAAGTTCCACAATCAGAAGACGTTAATTATTTATTATATTTCACTATTTTGGAAAATTTATCAAGCAAACTAAAACTAAAGCAAACCAAGTTTGATTTCCGCTGACACTAATGAAATCATATTTGTATATTTAAATGCTGATATACCACACGCTACGGTGAGGGAAAACATCGTTTAGGAACCTATAATCTGTTCGGTGGGAGTTGTTAAAAAAGCAGACTTCCTAAATTCATTACAAATTGCGGCCCACTAATTATTTCCGTTGGTAAATGGCTGCCGCGTCGGCTCGTCGTCATCATTGTCATCATCAAACATCGCAAGGAAACCTACATTTTTGTTACATTAAGAAAAAATATTTCGAAGGCATGTGAATCAATCGCATTGTGGTAGCGCGGTGAACACTTCATTGCCCTAAAACCCACTCACTAATGAGAAAGAGCCCGTGTGCAGCAGACGTATATAGACTGTAACTTTAAATAGCATCTATGATATGACGAAGGGAATATTCTGATATACACTGCGAGCACTGCTCAGTGCTCTCACTGGTGAAAAATTCGATCCATTATAGACCAATATGCCAATATACTACCGCAGTACCCTAGGGAAATACACGACGTCATAAATCGCCGCCATTTGTGTACTGTGAGCACTGGCGCTTTCTAGGTAAGGTGCTCTCAGTACATTGATCACGTGATCAAAATACATAACAGCGCCTAGAGATTTAATAGCTTTCACGAATTATTGTTATTATTATTAATTAATATTGTTGTTTAGATAAACTCGTACATTAAGTTTTAAAAGCAACAAAATTCAAATAATATTTTTTCTTGTTGAACAGAAAACGTGTACATGATAAATATTTTCATTTGGAAACAGTGTCGAAAAATGGGAATGAACAGACAGTATACTGGATTGCATTCCGTTTTAAACAGTAACTATAGTATAGCAAACTAAAAAGGAACGGCTTCATATTATACATGTATATCGGAACATAGCCGAAGTCTCTTCCCTACACCAAACAGCGTGCATATCCTAGTTACGATTTTCCAGAAGTCAACCGTTCGAACCAGTATTTATCTAATATCAAAATAATTGAGAGTTCATCATTACACACGGACTGAAAATCATTGTATTTTGTCATTATGTTAATTTCCCTACAGCAAGTGTCGCTGGGCCGCGATAGTCCTCTGACCTTGCCAGCTATAGTTGAGGAATGGCTAGTGGACCGACAAGGAGACTTGCTGATGATAGAGGGCCGCAGTGGACTGGACATTCAATGCAATCTCTTGTTCCGCACTTGCAAGCTGCAAGTTTCCGGTAAAACCACTAGTTTTTATTTATTTATTTACTGTAAGACTTTTACGGTTACCATTGGCAGACTTTGCCTTGTGACGTTCTCTACCATGAGAGAAGTGGAAATAAGTTGCCACATGTAAAAATGTACTTTATGAAATGTAGATTTCGAGAATATAATAAATGAAAACTTGTTTTCGAATCAAAAGACCGAATATAAATTTGAAGCGTTATACAGCAAAAACCATTGTAGTTAAAATGATTGATATTTGGATCAGAATATCATTATCTGACTATGATTACTTTAAAAAAAATAATGTAGTTTTTTTTTATTTCTGTATGTAACATATGGAAACCAAAGTTGTTTACATACCCTCTTATATATAAATAATCTGTCTATGTTATTTAAAATAGTGAACCATTTTATAGTGACAATTTTAAACGTGGTAGAGCCATGCTGCTGCTATATTAATTGTATTGAATTTGAAATTGAATGGTTCGCTCAACCGGAAAAGGACCACGCTCTCACAGAATACCAGCGTAAAACAGGAGCTTTAATGCTGCAGTATGGTGAGTGTAGAGAACCGGAGACCCTTTTTACTGGAAAAGTGGCATTCCGTCTTAGTCCTCACGGGTGACAACGCATCTGCATTTTGATTTGCAAACGAAGATAGATATAGATGTGCCACATCAACCAATTACATCAGGTGGACTGTGTACTTGCTTTTCATCCTTATCCTATAAAAAAAACTCTCTCTGTCTGATATATAAGTTTCGCTGCGGTTCGTTTTCAACTCTACTATGAAAAAATATTTTATTCGAGTTGTGTTTTTATTTTTATTTAATATTCTACCCTCATCTTATCAATTTGGTGCGATTTCTAATCTACAAATCTAGAAATAAAAGTAGGCTTATCCTAAATATCCCTCACGGACTTCAGCAATAAGAGTTGCGTGTTGCATGTCACCCTGTCCGTATTTTCACCAGCCCTGAATTACATTCACAGGTTGGCACTACGCCTCTTTGGGCGGCTTACTGGGCACGTACAACAACGAGCAGTACGATGAACAACAGCTTCCGAACGGAACGTTGAACGCTGACGTGTCTACTCTTGCTTACGGATGGAGCCTACGGACGGGTGTCCCACCTGCGTACACCCGGCAACTCAGCAACGACACACAATGCGATAAATTCTTCAACAACAAGGTGTCCCCGCTGCATCCCTGCTTCACAGTTGTGAGTGTTTTTGTTTATATTGTCTTTAAAAAAGGTTACTGTCTCTAGTTTTTTTCTTTCTAGTGAAAGTGTTTTACATATATATATATATATATATATATATATATATATACACAACTTATTTATTTGTTTTTTTTTATTAAATCTGTTGTATGGTTGCTTTAATTAATTCAACAATGTGTTTATTTATAAGATGCTGTTGAAATAAACCTCTTACTAATAAGATAAATACTTTGTTGAATACGTGGTTTACTGTATGTGTGTTACGTGTGTTTACTGTAAATATCACAATCACTGTCAAAAGTACTTAACTTCTATTTGGTTAGAAATATCAAAGACACAACCATCTTATATCTATTACGGTAAAGTATAATAAAGTCCACTGCCGAACATAGGCTTCCCCCATAGATTGTCTCAAAACCCTCCTCTTCCTCCCTCCTAGTTTTTCCATAGGCATACGGCCATCTCTTGTTTCAGTTTCTCTTCTTCCCTGCTCAGTCTCCTCCTACGACATTCACAGGACGATATGGGGTATAATATGATTGTACTTGTAATAGAGTTGTTTTTGATTGGGGTTTAAATAGAGTAATGAAATACGTCCTCTCTTGAATGCGTTTTATTTGCAACTGTCTATAATAATGTGCACAAATGATAATATGGGTATAACATCCTAAGACATTCACTTCTAAGACATGCGTACGCTAAATTGAATTCTATGCCACAGACATACCGCCCACCAAAGGACGACTGTCCTTTATAAAGAAGTTATAAACATTAAATTTACAAGTAAAATTGTTAATACTATTTTACAAATTTCAGAGGCTAACAAAGGTAATGCACTTAACATAGCATCAAAATATAATACCATTATCATTAAACAATATATAAGGACTTATCACTGTATTAAAAATAAAAAATTAAACGTATTGTAAACATTTTGGCATTCTTTGGGGGAGGCCTATGTTCAGCAGTGGACTTGTGAAGGGCTGTAATGATGATGATGATTGTAAACAATAAAGTATGACTTATCACTATCTTATAAAAAATTTAAACATAATGTAAACAATAAAGTGTGTCTTATCATTATTCACTATCTTATGAATAAAATTAAACATGATGAGAGCAATAAAGTATGACTTATAAATCGAAAAATACATAGAACTTAAGATTAACCCTTTTCTTTTTTTTCTTTTTTTTTCTTTTTTTTTTTTACATTTGAGATATTAATTGCTAATTGCGATATACATTTATTTAGATTCAATGGGCAAAGCACACAATTTGGAAATTGAGCGTTTTAATATATTCGTGCCACATTTAATACCATATACTCGGGCTATACCATCCGGTCCTGGGTACTTCTCCATAATCCGACCGAGTAGCCACTTCCCTGGTGGCAAGTTGTCATCTTTGAGGAGAACTATATCACCTATTTCATACTCTGACTCACGTTTTATCCATTTTGTCCTTTCTTGGAGTCGTGACAAATATTCTGTATGCCAACGTTGCCAGAAATCTCTTACTATTTTCTGAGTAAATTGCCATCGTGTGAGTTTACTTGCGTTGATGTCACGTAAGTCTGGACTTGGTGGCAATATGGGAGCTTCACCAATTAAAAAGTGACCCGGTGTTAATGGGTCTATGACGTCTACGTCTTCAGTGTCGATAGGTACCAAAGGGCGGGAGTTAAGGCATGCCTCTATCTGACATAACACTGTCGTCATTTCTTCTTGTATTAAGTTTCTCGTCATAATTCTTCTAAGGTGGTATTTCGTAGATTTTACGCCGGCTTCCCACAAGCCACCGAAGTTGGGGCTATGAGGAGGTATGAAATGCCACTGAGTTCCGTCGAGAGCTAATGTGTCTATCAGATAGCCAGGGATTTCTAAACGTGCCTGCTTCCAGGCGTCTGCTAAATCTTTATTTGCTCCTACGAAATTCCTTCCCTGATCACTCCATATATGCGAACATTTGCCTCTTCTAGCAACAAATCTATGAAAGGCTCCTATGAAAGATTCAGCGGTGAGGTCTCCGACTAATTCTAAATGTATGGCTTTAGTGGCCATGCATACAAAAATGGCGATGTATGCTTTGCTTGTCTTGGCGCCTCTCCCCTTAGAAAGCAAAATTTGCAATGGACCAGCAAAGTCCACTCCGCTGTGGAGAAACGGTCGGGCTGGAGTCACTCGTGCCTTTGGAAGTTCACCCATGATTTGAGTCCTTATGGCAGCCCTTTGTCTTGCACATACTATACAATTTCGTATCTAAAATTTAATCGCATTCTTAGCTCGAATGATCCAGAATCTATTCCTAAGATAGCAGAGCATGAGTTGAATACCACCGTGTAGGGTTTTCTTGTGTGCATCTGCTATTAACAAAGAAGTCAAATGATTGCTTGAGCTCAGTATGATTGGATGTTTTTGTTCTTGTGTTAATTCCGATCTTTGGAGTCTTCCGCCCACCCTAAGTATATTTTGAGTATCAAGAAAAGGGTTTAATGATTTCAAACTACTTCCTTTTTTTACTCTTCCTTTCATTCGTATATTTTTTATATCTTCTTCGTATTCTCTTTTCTGAACAATTCTTACACATTTTAATAAAGCATTTTCATATTCTTCAGTTGTAATATTCTTTCTTATTTCGTCAGGTTGTTTCTTACTATTAATAAATCTTGAACAATAAACTACAACTTTTAAGAGTTCTTGTAGTGAATCAAAATTTTCTAATTTAATTATCTGTTTCTTTGTTTCTGTTTTTAAATTCACCTGAATATTTTTTTTTCTTTCTATATCAGTCGGTATCAAATTTGGTCTTGAGTATTCTATGTTTTTCTCCTTCAGCCAAGCAGGTCCTTCCCACCACTGTTTACATTGAATAAGTTGTTGTAAATTCATTCCTCTTGATCCAATATCCGCTGGATTATCATTCGTTTTTACATGAAACCATTGAGTATTGCAAAGATTGTCTAATATTTCAACTACTCTGTTACTAACGAACGGTTTCCAACGGTTCGGATCTCCGAACAACCATGAGAGTACAACCGACGAATCCGTCCAAGCAAACACTTTGGTAGGTGATAATCTCATAGCTTCTCTTATGTGTGTTAACAACCTTGCCAAAATAACTGCCCCACAAAGCTCAAGCCTAGGTAATGAAAGTGGTTTTACAGGGGCGACTCGTGTTCTCGAGGCAATAATATTCGTTTTAATTTCTCCTTTATTATTTGCTATTCTGCAATATACTACTGCGCAATAGGCTTTATTTGAAGCATCACAAAAACCATGAAGGGTTACGTTTTTGCTGTCTTCACATTCTGTGTCTATCCATCTGGGAATTTCCACGTTTTTTATTTGTTTAAAACTTTTTCTCAATATTAACCACTCTTTCTCTAAATCTTCATCTATTTTATCATTCCAATCATGGTTTTTTAGCCATAGTTATTGTATTAAAATTTTTGCTGGAATTATGCTTGCACCAAGCCAACCCAACGGATCAAAAAGGCGTTGAATGTCTGCCAAGATATTCCTTTTGGTTATTTCTTTTGGTATCGGCGGCAAATTGAGCTGATAATGAAAAGTGTCCGTACTCATGTTCCATGCTAGACCGAGTGCTTTAATGGTGCTGTCGCTTTTTATATTAATACTGGCCTTAGAACTTCTCAATTCTGAATTGATTTGATTTAAGAAGTTTTTATTATTAGATGCGAATTTATGTAATTTAAATCCTCCTTTTTTGAGTATAGCTTGAAGCTGCTGACCAAGTTTAATGCAGTCCTGTTCTGTCATCGCACCGCTCATACAATCGTCTACATAAAAATCTTCTCTTATTACTTTAGCTGCTTCTGGATAATTTTTTTCTTCATCTTTTGAGAGCTGCACAAGCGTCCTAACCGCAAGATAAGGCGCAGATGAAGTCCCAAATGTTACTCTTTTTAAACGATATATTTTTAGTTCTTCTTTGTTACTTTTTCTCCAAAATATTCTTTGACAATCGGTATCTTCTTTCGTCACTAGGATTTGTAAATACATTTTTTGGATATCGGCTATAAAACATACTGGCTTCATACGCCATCTGATTATCAAACTTCTTAAATCTTCTTGTAATTGTGGACCAACGAGTAATTCATCATTCAGTGATTTATTGTTCGCTCCTTTGCAAGATGCGTCAAACACTACTCTGCATTGTGTTGTTTCTTTGTCTTCTCTTATCACTGCATGATGTGAAAGGTATATTGATGGATTATTTCTTTCCTTATGTGGTATTTCTTCTATATATTCTAACTTAATGTATTCTTCAATTACTCTTATATAATCTTGTTTGAGCGTCTTATTTAGATTTAGCCTTCTTTCTAGTAAATAAAATCTTTTGAGTGCAATTTCTTTTGTTTCTCCTATTTCTTCTAAGTAATTAACATTTTTAAATGGTAGTTTAACCATATATCGACCATCTGTTGTTCTTGAATGTGTGGCAGCGTAAATGTTTTCACATAATCTTTCTTAGGCTGTGAAATTTCTTTTTTCTGTAGTCTCTATATCCCACATATTTCTTAACATGTTATCTACGTCAACATGATGATGCATTACTATGATGTCTTCAGAAGATGAAGTATTTGATATTTCTCCAAATAGTATCCATCCGAAGCTGGTTTCTTGTGCACTTGGAGTACCTGGTGGACCCTTGATAACATTGCCTTTTAATATTTCTGTATATACTTCAACTCCTAACAGCGCATCGATTCTTCCTGGTGTGGCAAAATGAGGATCAGCTAAAGTAAGTTCTTTTAAATGTGTCCAATTGTTCATCGGTTCTATTGTCTTACAAGGTAGCTTTGTAGTCAATGGTGTAGACAAAACGTACGCTTTAACATTGAGTTTAAATTGGTTTTCGTAGTTTGATAATACTTCAAAACACACCACATGACTTATTGATGTTTTGGTAGAACCAACTCCATAAATTGTGCCATGTACCCTTTTTCTTTTGAGTTGCAAAAGTTGTATTGCTCTCTCACTAATGAAAGACGCCTGCGAACCTGGATCAATTAGTACTCTCAACATAGTGACATATCCTGTGTCACTTTTAATCGGTATTAAAGCGGTAGTCAGTAAAACATTTTTAGTATTGGACGTAAAGTGTGAAGCTATTGATACATCCGATTCTTCCTTCTCAGTTTCTTCTACATTTGTGTGTAAAGAGTTTAACCCTGGTGAATGTTTGTTTTCTTCTTTATCAAAGGTCACCTCTTTCTTCTTGTAAGAATGTAGAAGTGAATGGTGACGTTTACCACATACACGACATGATGTTCTTTGCTTGCAGTAATATCCTGGATGACCAGTTGACAAGCAGTTGTAACACAAACGCTTTTCTTTTACATACTCACTTCTTTTTTCGGGATCTAATTTGCCAAATTTTTTGCAATGACATAAGAAATGGTTTTCATTGCATAGAACACATTGAACAGTAGTAGCAGCGGCGCTGATGTGATACGACCTTTGAACCTTCTCCCTTGACGTGGATGTTAATTCAAGTGTATGAATTCTATTTTCCAAAAAACTTACGAAATTATCAAATGTTGGCATATCCTTTGGATGTCCACTGCTTACATAAGTTTCCCAATCTCTGTGTGACTCTTGATCTAGTTTTAGGATTGATATATATATATTAATAACGGATCCCAGGAATCTGTCTTAATATCTAAATTATTCAAGCTGTTAATAGATTCTTTTGTATTATCAATTAAAACTTTTAAATGAGCTGGTGATTGCGTATTTATTTTCTTCAAAGAAAATAATTTCTTTAATATTGCATTTACTATTAGTCGCTTATGACTATATCTATTCTTTAAGGCTTTCCACGCTGGTTCGTAATTTTTATCCGTCACTTGAAAATGGTTTATAGTATTTTTAGCTTCGCCTGCTACACACGACTTCAAATAATGTAATTTCTGTACGTCACTAAGGCTATTATTTCTGTCTATTAATGATATAAATGTGTCCTCAAATGATTGCCATTCTTCATATGCACCGAAAAAGGTAGGTAGATTTATTCGGGGCAGCTTTACGTCAACAACGGGTTTTTCACACATCGGCGAAGTTGAAGGGTTTGTATTATTCCCAGTATTGTTTTTGATATCATTTAACATATCCACCATATCCCCTTTCAAACAAGTAAACACTTCTTCACACTTGTCGTACTCGCTATTTACAAAATGAGATATTTTTTGTCTATCGTTCTTCGATGTTATTTTTAATAAGTTTTGATGCGCCGCACGATATGATACCCAATACTCTTCAATGCATTGAATCTTTACTTCTAAATATCCCTGTGTTATTCTTGTTTTAGGACATTTTTTAAGATTAATCTGAGTTTTGTTAATTTGATTATAATATTCTTCTAATTGTTCGATTATTTCTTCCACTTTTGACATTATAAATTACTCACAAAAGATATAATTAAGCTTCACAAAATATCACTGCAATGTTCGTTGTTGTTCACTTTTATATTACTTGTTGTTCTTTTTTAGCGCAGGTAAGCGTCCGAGCCTCGGGACGATGAACAAAAGCTGTTTACGACGATGTTAGCTCCTTACTTATCCGGCTCGATTGTGACCACTATGTGCTTGTAATAGAGTTGTTTTTTGATTGGGGTTTAAATATGTAATGAAATACGTCCTCTCTTGAATGCGTTTTATTTGCAACTGTCTATAATAATGTGCACAAATGATAATATGGGTATAACATCCTAAGACATTCACTTCTAAGACATGCGTACGCTAAATTGAATTCTATGCCACAGCCAATGATATATATATATATATTAATATGGGGTATAATATTCTTACATCGCCACTACAAGGTTAAATACACAACATGCAAAACAGACCGCTTTATTCTCGTTAGGCTGTCGGAGAAGCGGTGAGTTTGTTGAATTGATGTGACATTTGTAATGATTTCCGTGCCGCAGATCGACGCGCAGCCGTTCCACGACGAGTGCGTGCGCGGCATCGAGGCGTGCGCGCTGGCCGCCGCCTACCTGGAGCTGTGCGCGCAGCAGCACGTGCCCACGCACATACCCGACCACTGCGTGCAGTCAGTTGCTTTTCATCCCCTTATATTTATTGTCTTTATACACGCCAATTTTGCAATAAGCGCCCAAAGCTGCAGAAAAAGTTCAAAATGAGTAATATTGGCAAATGGTAAAAAAAAATAATTAAGATAATCTCAAACATTCTGTCGTTTTATCTTTTAAATTCAAAATTGTAATACATTATTTTAGCTGATTTTACTGCGCACGCACACATTTGTAAGGGTCGATCTATAGGCAAAAAGGTTGTTGCCCATAAAACACATTCAAACTAAAATAACATAAAATAAATAACTTCAAATAAAAATAGAAGCTTTATTTACTCGTATTTTCAAAAACTGCAATAACGGTATATCATTAATTATATATTTAAACTTAAGTTTAAAATTTGGCTACTCTTTGAAAAATAACCTTGTATATAAAATTATTCTGTCCTTGTTTATATAACTGAAATCCTCCTAAACGGCTGGACCAATTTTGATGAAATTTTGTGTGTGTAATTAAATCTATTCAATAATGGTTTAAATTCGCAATTGGGCCCGGTAGGTGGATCTATTTTTGAGATTCAGAAAACATTCGTGCGAAGCCGGGGCGAATCGCTAGTATTTTATATTTCTTGATTATAGACAAAAGTGTCCTAATGGTAAATGTAACTTGCCATACAAAGGAAATTTAAACCACCATTTGAACTTTGACCTAACTTTGATTGAACAAGTAGAAAAATTAAAAATTTTGTACAACAGACTTCAATATAAATAAAATGAGAACATCATCAATGTACCTAGTCGAAGTCAATTAAATACGCATTATTAAAGATAACTCATAAACTACTGGTCCGATCTTGACCATTTTATACGGGACCACATAAGAAGCATCAGCTTTCAAATAAAAAAAGAATCATCTAAATCGGTTCACCTACAAAAATGTTCTGAGATAACACATATAAAAAATGCAGTCGAATTGAGTACCTCCTCCTTTTTTGAAGTCGGTTAAAAATAATAACAGACAATAGACTTGAATGACTTCTTTACTACAAAATCCCTTCATAACTTACAGATGCACGACAGCACAAGGCGACGTGGTTGAAGAAGGCTCTTTCGTTCAGTTAGAGAACCCGCCCAATTCGACTGACGTGGTGTTCGTTATAGAAGCCGAGCAGTGCAACAAGAACATACGTAAAGCGAAGAACATAGATCTGTTCATAGAGGCGTTCGACAGCAAACTACAGGGAAGTGGCTTCTCTGATAATAGGTGAATACTTTAAAATTATTGAAAACAATTTAAATTTTAAAAATAATACTGTGCTCTAAATGGAATCACAAATTTGTGACTAGTAATATCGGTGGCAAGACATAGGATATGGAAAAATTAAAGCCCCGAGTTTAGAATGTTAAATTATTTTATTATTTTAAGTTATTTGAAGTTACTTACTTTTACTTTTTATGAAAAGTTAATTTTTTTAGTTATCGATCACTAATAAAAAACTAGATACACAATCAGTGACAAAAAATGTCCTTACCGAATGAGCGCCAACTCGAACATTTGGTTGCGCTCTTAATTTGTACGTAGCTTTGTGAATATAAAGGCATTAGGCAATGCATTTAAGGTTGAATTTTTCATTAATGTGTATTTATTTCAACTAGCATTACGTCAAAACGATTGGCAACAGTTTTTAGAGAACTTTTGCATGGGATTGTATATCTAGTTTTTTATTAGTTAGTTATTAGCTCCTAATGGACTAAGGAATATCACAATCTTCATCTATACAAATAAATAAAATCAAAAATCCAAGTCCAAAAAGAGAAGCCAAAGTTGTCAGTACTAAATCAACACAAGCGAATACGGAAAGGTGCGCAGTAGACGAATGAGCGAAACGTATGTAGCGGGTGGAAGGAAAAGGGGAGATCTCCCGGCGGGCAAGGTGTTCTGCCCGGGGAGCGGCCAGCGCTCCGATTGGTAGTTCGGAGCTATTCTATATATGCTGCTTCAATTTTGGAACTTTGTTAGCGTGATTTAGGCTTCGATATGTTTTGCTTGTGGCGCGACGACAGCGCCGCCACATCACCCCCCTGCTCAGACCGGAGGTCGATAGTGCAGTCCGATTGCAGGTGCGTCCTTAATGCCGGTGGGGAATGCATGCTGTGTGCGTAAGGGCAAGTGACGCCGGTGCGAATGATATGCCGGTGTGTAATGCATGCCGTACTACGCACTTGCAAGTGATGCCGGTGAGAACGATGAGCCGGAGCAAGTGCCAGGGATTGCCTTGTAGTCTGCGGTGAGTCGAGAAGAAGGCAAGTAATCTGCGAGAGTGCCGTGAAGCAGAGGCGAGCAGTAAGGCTCAGAGCCGTGCCGAACACTGTAGAGCAGAGAGTAGCTTGAAGGAACAGGAAGCATTATTATTCCAGTGCTGCGATGAACCTTTTTAAAGCTAGATGGCTTGCAGAATGGGAAGACTGCAGATAATATCTGCTCGGGAGTGAATGAATGGGGTACTTGAGTAAGATGACGAAGTTTTTTGAAATTGTGGTTTCCGAAGATTGTTGGTTGCGTGTTCATATCACGTCGGTTGGTCACCACTGTAGCCGGTGGAAGGAAAAGGGGAGATCTCCCGTCGGGCAAGGTGTTCTGCCCGGGGAGCGGCCAGCGCTCCGATTGGTAGTTCGGATTCGGAGCTATTCTATATATGCTGCTTCAATTTTGGAACTTTGTTAGCGTGATTTAGGCTTCGATATGTTTCGCTTATGGTGCGACGACAGCGCCGCCACACGTACTAACTGGTGTCAGACGCATCTCCGTCTCACTGCGTGGCGTCATTATCTGTCTCGGTCGCTCATGGCAAACATGTCCACTATCCATCGCTCTCATCATTTTGCCGTAAAATTAAGAACCTACCAAGAGCTTGTGCGAACATTTGAACTGAGTAAACTGGGTTAGCAAAAATCGGGTTACTCGAGGTTTTTATTTTTTTACTAGTTTTTTTTTTTTAGTATGAAACTAACAAGTATTGTACCATTTTACATTTGGCACTTGCCAAGGCACTTTAGTACATTTTTTTAAAGGAGTTCAAAGTCGACAAATTTCGAAAATTTTAGATTCTTTGTTCAACAAATAGTATTAATTCTAGAAAACTTGGGGCAGTGGTGCCATTATTTTTTACTGTGGTTTTAGAAATGTTATTTAGGGTTACGGTTCCAAAGTTTAAATTAACAAAAATAATAAAAATTAACCACAATAATCGAAAAATGCTTACAGTTTGACCAAATTTCTAGGTTTTTCTTAAATGCTTATAATTTCCAAATTGCATGGAATAGATTTTTTTTCTGGTTTTTCTCATGATGGTTACAATCAATCCTGTCACCCCGTTTCAGCTTGACGTTGAGTTCTGGGACAACTTGTATAGCGTGTAAGTGCTTGTTCACGAGGAACACGTGGGCGTGGGGTGGCAGTTGGCGCGGTGGTTAAGGCGAGCTCGTGTTTCACATTGGTTGCGCGAGTGTTGTCGGAAGTTCTGAAAATGGACGACGAATTTTTATTTTTAATCGAAAATTTTTATCTAAAGTGCCAGATAACAAAAAGTAGAAACTGTACCAACCTATATTCGCAATAAACTATTTGAATATGTAGAATTGGTTTGCATGAAATTAATAAAGAAAGAGAACTGTCGCTAAACTCAAATAAATAAAAATGAAATAAAAACTAATTTAATATAAAAAAATAAAGATATATTATAACCTCCTATATATATTAAAATAAATAATATTCTTATAAATAAAATTCTAGAATATTCAGCTAAAAAAATTAAAGCAAATCCCCCTCTTCTATATTCAATATTAAATCCTGAAACTAATTTTCTTTCCCCTTCCGCAAAATCAAAAGGAGTTCGATTAGTTTCAGCCAATCTTGAAGAAATTCAATATATTCTTAAAGGTATTATTAAAAAAAAAAACAAATATAATCTTGATAAATAAAAAGTTTTATTATATTAAAATCTATAATTAAAATAATTTTTGATAACATAATTAAAGCCAATCTTACTTCATAAGAAATTGTCTGTGCAACAGCCCGTAAACCCCCTAATAAAGAAAAATTAGCAATAACAAACACAAACAAGTTCATATGTTTGTTATTGCCGCGAGCGCGATAGTCGCCAGCTTGCTCGCTATTCCCACCGCACGTGCTTTTTGTACGTGACCACTTGCATGTAGTGGTGAGTGAAGGCGTGAACTCGCAGTAGGTATTAGAAAAATATCGATATTTCGATATATGGATATTTTTTGCCCAAGTCTAACTCGCAGTGTGTGGTGTGCGCAGGTACGCGGTGGTGGCGTACGGCGGGCGCGGCGAGCTGCGGCGGCCGCGCGCGCTGTACGTGCGCAACTGCCTGTTCGCCGACGCCGTGGCCGTGCCCGCGCACTTCGACGCCTTCCACGTCGGTGAGACACCTGCACAAACAAACAAAACCTACACCCTTGTTTACATACATACATACATAACTCTGTGTCACGATACCTCTTCATCGCTTAATCAAATAATAAAAAGTCAATACGTCACTGCTCCAGTTGACATTATGATTGATTTTTTGAAGTGTTCCTAATTATTTCATAAGCTTGTTTTGTGTTTTTGTCTTTGTCCTTCTCCTCCCCATTTGTTTTAGTTTTATAAGGCGGCAAAACTTAAAGTGATCATATTACCCTCACGTACCTTACAAATAAATAAAACTGAAGTCTGATTGTAATGTCAAAATAACAACTTTATACGAAATGTCTGTCAGTTTATTCCGGCTAATCTCCAAAATGGCTGAACGATTTTGACGAAATTTCAACCGGCACATAACTGATGTTAAAAGGAGTAACTTAAGCTATTTTTATTTAAAAATAAAAAGGTTACGCTCAAAAAATTATAACCCACAAAATTCAATCATAATAAATTCCACGCGAACAAAGTTGCAAAGAACAGCTAGACCGCAATAAACATAACACACATAGTCTACATAAATCACACGTAAAACGGTATCACTATATGTTACAAACTCACACATCTCTAGTTTATTTATCTACAGAAACCGCAAATATATACAAATTTGTAGTTTACATTATAACAAGTTTGCCAGCACTAATACGATGAATATAGTACACACGACTTTAACGTTATACGCGTAACCGTAAGGAAGCTACCTTAATACTGTTGATATCTGTTACAAGTTTGTGCTATTTTTGCTCTAACTTGAAAATTTATCACAGCAAAACTTAAAGAAACACATTTTTATGTCTATGTTGCATGAAAATCAAAAAAGTTCCAAGAAGGAACACTTAAATCAAGTTCTCAGCGCACTCAACTGCCTGACAGAAGCGATACGAATAGAATTGGCTAACAGCTTATAAAATTTTGTTATAACTGAAGCCCATATCCAACAGTTGATCTTATTTCCCGATAGTTTTTAGTTTTAATAATGCCACTTACGTAGCTTAGTAATGTGGTGAACTATTTGATAGATATCATGGCGGGAAGGTATAATGTTAAAAAAATATTAAAATTAATATTTCTAAAGTTTTTACTTTTTAGTGTATATCCGAATATATATAAAATACTTTGATTAAAACACACTTTTTCACTTATGGTGACACTGTGTAACAAGTAACTTCAATACCAACTAGCGACATCTGGTGAACGGTAAATTACCAACGCTCGTTGCCTTAAAGGCCGTTTCCATGTTTTATTTGCATTCACTATGTTACGGCCCTGAGTAGCCCTGACAGAAGTCGACTGGGCTAGGGCCTATAGTAGCTCACTTGACGGGCAACTAGAAGATTCGGGCCCAATGGCCTATGGATAATTATTAACTAATGGCTGATAAGCAAACACAAACTTACCGAGTTCCGGAGGTAGAGTCGACCACAAGGCACCGTCAGGTGGTAAGTAAGTGGATGTAAAGTGGTGTGTGAAAGTGTGTAGATGTAACCTGACGTCACCGATGTAATCTGAGAGCAGATCCACAGGCGCTGCTTTTCTTCACAATGTGCGATCCCTCCAGTGGGCGTTCCCCAATAGAGACATTCTGCTTTTATTTCACTATACTAGTTTATCAACTTTATTGTACATTTAATTAACTTCAAATTTAACTAAATCAACGTTAATCGAACTTAAAACAAGTGACACACTGCACAACTTGAGAACTGTCGGTCAAAGTTCAATGTCCCATGTTTAATTAGCACAAAATTATAATAGAATACGAACGCGACCTTCTCTCGGGTCACAAAGTTTTAGCGTTCCACCCGACAAGCAAAAATTCCTTGGTACGATATTAAAATACCACACAAGCAACTCGTCATGTGTGGTACAGAAAAATTGTCTCTTAATGTAGAGATAAAAGTTATGAAAACTAAAAATACCAAGTGGTCAATCACTCTTGATGAGTGGACCTCAATTAAATCCCATCGATACCTACATTTAAATATTCATTTTCAAAATGATGATGGCGAAAATGTCTGCAAAAATCTGGGATTAATAAGGATTGTAGGGTCTATGGGAGCTGAAGATAGTGTTTCACTCATAGAAATTAGATTAGATTCTTTCGGAATTTGTTTAGACAAAGACATCATTGGATTGACAACTGACGGCGCAGCTGTCATGGCGAAGCTTGGACGTATTCTCCCAGTTCCGTTTCATCAATTATGCCTTGCACACGGTGTGCAACTGGCTGTACAAGATGTTTTATACAAAGAAAATCAACAACCACGTGAGGATTCTGAAACATGCGCAGACTCTGACTTAGATGAAAACTCTGATGATGACATTGATGACGTTGACGGATTTGTTGTCGAGCATTCACGGAGACACGGAGTGCTGAGTGATGAATATAAGAAAATAGTTAAAAAAAGTCCGGTCAGTGGTGAAGATATTTAAAAACTCACCGACAAAGAACGACGCCACGCTCCAAAAATATGTCCAAGCTGAATTTGGAAAGGAGTTACAACTATTCCTAGACTGCAAAACCAGGTGAAGCAGTCTATCAATTATGCTGGAACGATTTTTAAAGCTAAAATTATGCATACAGAAAGCATTGATTGATATGAAATCTGGTATTAAACTCTCAGATATAGAAATCTTATGTCTAGAAAATCTGCAAATTAGATTGGACATGATCAAAACTACTGTGGAAGTACTCTGCCGCATAGATGCTACCAGTCTAACGGCGGATACAGCTCTTAAATTTTTGATGAAATCATTAGACAGCCAAGTCATGATGTCTGCCAGGCAACTAGCAATATCATTGAAACGGAGGATTAAAGAGAGGCAACTCTATAATGTTGTCGACGCCTTACAATACTTACACAACCCTAATCAATTTTTAAATGAGACTGAGGAAGACGAAGATATATTTAAAAAAAAACCTACGTATGAAGAAATTAAAAATGTGTTCTATCAAGCTGCATCCCTGGATGTTGACGATTGCACGACCACGTCGACTAATACTGTCTGTGCGATAGTTCTGATCCATCGCCGCTCAGTTTTAAAGAAAAGCTCAATCGTCAACTTTCTCTTACAAATGTGGGTAGTGATCAACACCAGTGAACGAGTGTAATCAGCGCAACTGATTTGCCTTCAATGATTCACGTTGAAATGGCTTTATTTGAAATGGTGGAGGTCGTGGAGAAATCCTAGAAAAAGTTCTGAACAGGTTGCTTTCCATACCGCCGACCAGTGTTGAGTCTAAGAGAGCTTTTTCCACAGCTGGCATGTTCTGTAATAAAATAAGATCACGTCTAAACGATGAAAAACTTGACGCTTTCATGTTTTTAAGATCTCGTTTATAAATTAATATCATAAAAATAGAATTTATTAATTATTTCTTCTCTTATTTGTAACTGAGTTACCTTAAACATTCTTTTTTTGAAACTACAGTTTTATAAAAAGATGGATACCTAAATACGTTTTGTTGCATTTGATTTTATGTTATGTGTAGATTATGACTGTGTTTTGATGTTTAATTTAGTTGATTTTATTTTGTCGTGTCTGAATAAATGCAGATTTTAAATGATTCATGCTGTTTTATTTCAGTTTTATCAAATCATCTTAAAACTTCGAAAAATCCGGATTATCCGGATTTTAATTATAGGAAAATTCAGAAATTCAGATTCCAAAAAAAATCCGGATTTTGCAATATCGAGTCGTAACTTTTAAAATATTTGACCAAACTAAGTAGTTTAAAAGACAAAGTTTGTCTACTTTGAAAATCAAAAGCGATTAAAGTATTTATTTTGATAAAAATCTATTTGTTATTGCAAAATGTGCGTTGGATATAAAGTATCAAATTGTATTGTATTTATAGTTCACTATTTTGGTAATAATGGCTTACACATAAAATATAGATATATACAGTCGCGGAGTTCTTGTATTTAATATTTTTTATTTACATTTAGGGGAAACAATTCCACTATACGTTATATTCGTGTAACTCTAACAGTTTTTGCACCGCACGCCAAAATAGCTCGCAGATGACAGATTTTTTCCGACTTACTTAACATTTATCGTTATAATTAGGCCAATTTACACAATATCTTAATGAATTATGTGTTATTCTGGAGTATAAATTATATACTTGTAAAGTTTCATTAAAATCTATTTAGTAGTTTTTGCGTGAAAGAGTAACAAACATACATCCTCACGTTTAATTGATAATATTAGTAGGATAAACCCCTTTTTGGTATAATTTTTATGTAACCCCTACAATATTATATTTTCTCCTGTTTTGTGGAAGTATTTTACTTATATAAGTTAAATTATTTTAATTAATTGAAAGATTGTTCTTGGTCGATCTGTGTTCCCCATAGATTGCCTCTTTTTTTCCCTAGTAGGGATTTTGCCCTAGTAACCAATCTTAGCAGGTGGGTTGGCAACCGTTATTTTGAGTTGTTATTAAAGACGGGTAATGTCAATGTTCTGTTTCAGTTTCCCTCTGTTGCGCTTTATGACACCAACAGGATGATATAGGGTAGTGGATATTCTTACACCGTCACTAGTCGTTATTCTATCTTCTTTATATATATAAAAATCTATTGCTGTTCGTTAGTCTCGCTAGATTTCGAAAATGGCTCAACTGATTTTGATGAAATTTTTTGTGGGGGTTGGACTAGGTCTCTGGATGATTTAGATTTGGACCCGGTAGGTGGGGCGCTATTGTCGCGATCCAGAAATCAACAGTGGGAAGCTGGGGCGGATCGCTAGTATTATATATATTACAGTTAAAATCAAAACTCATAACCGGTCAAAACCACTTTTAACTGATGTAATTTGGTCAAAATTACTGTTATGCAGTATTTTTGTAGTTAAAAGTGGATTTGACGAACAGTTTTAGTAAAAGCTACTTTTGACTACAATAATTAGTTAACAGTGGTAGTAACCAACATAATTAGTTAAAATTACTTTCGAACGATTTTTTGCAGTTACAATTGGTTTTGATCGGTTATGAATTTTGACTGTAACATATATAAATAGGATTGGCGAAATAAAATTTGTTAGTATGGGAGCCATTAGGGAAGTTTCTCCGTAACGAGCTCCATACAATTGAGGTTTGATTTTATATTGAATATAAGCCAATTAAAATCATTATCAATGTATACGAGAGGTCCTGGGATTTTCGTTCAGAACGCAAACGAGGCTCCTCCATACGTTTGCTATGTTAATAGTAGGTCCGGGGGGCAATACTTGTTGCCTCCGGCACTCTCGTAGTGTTATCACGGTGTGTCGGGACAACTTCCGAGTTATCGTTCTCTTCGGGGATTACATTATTAGGTGTTCGAGGCTCCCGCCCTGAGCGTTTGCAACCTCACAGATCACCCGTTTTCGTGAGGACGGCCGTGACGAACTGACGAATGCTTTGACGTCGTCTCCCGAGTGGTAGCCGTCAACTCGTATTAAGTGTATTGTATGGTGTGTTGTGCAGAGAAAGGCGATGGTGCGGGTGGGGGCGGCGCGGAGGCGGACGTGTTCGCGGCGCTGCGGTTCGCGAGCGCGCTGCCGCTGCGCGCCGCCGCGCCGCGCGCGCTGCTGCTGCTGCCGTGCGCGCGCTGCCGCGCCGCCGCCATGCACGTGCGTTCTCTACTGCCCATCACTCCTCAAACACTTGCAACGCATCTACCTTTTGATTCTTAATCGAACATAAATGTACATGTCTATGAGCCACACCATCCACTTACCTTCAGGTGGACTGTGTGCTCGTTTGTCATCCGTATTCTACAAAAAAAAATACACGTGCTACACGCATTGCTCGCGCACTATACACACTACACACTCTTTGCACCTTATAAATACACACTGCGCGCACTGTCCTCGCCATACGCACTGTAAGTACTACACGCACCACCCGCACTATACACACTACACTTGGAAGCTATATAACACAACACCTATTTATCAATCTTCTACTTTTTCATCAACAACTTCGGACCAACGAAGAGAGATACACAGAACACTGCGTACATTTCAAGTAACGCTCAAATCATACTCAACTTCTTGATACGCCTCATGCACATATCTTTCTTCTTTTTTTTTCACTGCTAAACTCACACATATTATCATACTAAAACGATGTTGGTAATTGCAAATTATTTTAAATGAATATGTGAACGTGAATACATGTTCTTGCGTACCTTGAAATATACGCAGCACTCCTTTCTTTCTTTATTGGTCCCAGTCATAGACCTTTAAAAGAATGTACACAGAAATTGCATGACTTAGCACCTCACACATACTTCTACCATCGGACAAACACCTTCAAAGACAATTTGCTTTATTGTTAGAAATACAGAAAGCGAGTGAAATAATTTGCCAGAACCTGTCTATCCAAAGAAAATTCAAATTCAAATATCAAACGAGATAATAGACAAGACTAGTTTATATTAATTAAAAACAAGTCTACTGCTGGACATAGGCCTCTCCCGTTACTAATAGAATGTTTTGTTAATATTAATTTAGTTGATAACGTCTCAGATAAGGTTTTCTTTCATAGGACAGAATTTGCGTTAATCGACACGCTTGACAGACGTATTGATAATCGCACTTTCAAACACATAAATACTGAGTATTATCTATGAGTACATTTGAAGCTTCTACCTATCGTCGATTTGGGTATTTTACAATGAATTTCCCATAGTCGCCTCTTACGACATCCACGATACGAAATGTACATGTTCAATCCAAAATTCAAAAGAAAATTTGTCAAAATCACTTGTTTATGATTTAGATCATTTTTGTAATTTTGATTTGAAAAATGAGACACCAGCAAGTCTTTCACAAAATTATAATCGCTTGGCTGGTCACCATCCCTTGGTTGTCGACATACCACGCATTCGATCCAAACGGTTTGCTTCATCGTTCATAATGCGTCTAACATAGGAGTTGTAGTGGTATATGCCTTCATTCTGCTAGTAGTGTAATAAATACCTGTACTCTTAGGTTTATTGGGCAGTATAATTAAAGTTCTAGTAGCAACAACGCGCCTCTTCTCATTTAAAACATTTCCAACATTACATGGTGACTCTGCCAGGCCGTGCGCTGCGACAATGCATGCGCGCCGCCGGACCTTGTTAAAACGTGGGAAGTAATAATAAATAATTAGCCAGTCTTTCCATCCGAGTACCACGTGACTGACTGTTTTTAAGGAAAGTGTGAGTAAGCCTTTGTTAAGCTAAGTCAGTGCGCTTTATCATTTTCGACTACATCACCGCTTACCCTCAGATGCGGATAGTAGTCAAGCACTGGTTTAAAATAATTAAAAGAATTGAGACTTCAATAATTATATTCGATTATTTTTAATTCGTCACTTATGATTTTACAGCTGGACTACTCGACAATTTACCACAACCTGATGGAGAACTCTATCACTCTGCACATTCTCATGAACGACGAATTTACGCTCTCGAAGAAACGAGTAGCTAAATATCTATTTGGTAAGCTATTGTAAATTGTTGATTTATTCATTTAGATATTTATAAACATGTGAGTTAGTCAGTACTTGTTTCTATTTTATAAATCTAATTACAATTATAAAATCGAATAAATGATACTCCAAAATATTACTGAAACGATATGGAGTCAAAATAAACCTAAATAAAGGATGAAGAGACAGAAAAATATTGATTATATTATTTTATTATTAAATGAAACAGAAGATGGGCCATGCAGACCAGCATCTTAAACTTTCGACACCTCATTTTATAATTACGTAAATGTTAAAAAATCATAACGTAATGCAAGCCCTACAATTTTGCATTATATTATGTTTTTGTAATCGCACCAAACCTCACGCATTTTGTCGAACCATCAGTCATTTGCTCAGTTATTGGTTACTGTAATTTATGATCTCATCTCTACCTCTATATTTAATTATATTTTGACATTTAAAGACACTACGAATGTCTTTAAAAATAACCCAAAATAAAATGTATATCTATACAAATAAATAAAATTGAAGTGTCTGTTTGTAATGTCAAAATTACAGTTTTTTACTAAATGCATATGAAAGTAAATACGGTACTTACTTACGGTACTTTAAAATTTTTTCTGTCTGTCTGTCTGGTTGTTCCGGCTAATCTCCGAAACGGCTGAACCGATTTTGAAGGGACTTTCACTGCTAGATAGCTGATTTCTTAAGGAGTAACTTAGGCTAATTTTATTTTAGAAAAAGAATTAGGGTTCCGCACAAAAACTTATAAACCCTAACACGCGGGCGAAGTCGCAGGGAACAGCTAGTCAGATATAAATATAAAAAGCTTATAATGTTTTCATGTTAAAAGTTTCCTTTCGTTTCAGGTGTGGATAGCACATTGGCGTATACCAACAAGGATTATGAAAGGCTCGTGGGAGACTTTGGGCTGCGGAAACAAGTGAAATTACCGAAAGACAAATTAGGAGTGTGTACGTCCCTCGCTATGGAGACCAATGGTAAGGATTTTCATATTTATCTATCTATGTATTTACTATATAAGTGGCTTTTTACGTTTCTCCTAGTAGTCTCTTCATATTGTGTTTACTGTGTATGAGGATATCATTATTGTTACGAGCTTGAGGTTTGAGACAACTAAAACTGCGGAGTGAATTACCATAATTGACACTTACAAAAAACTAATTACAACTTAAGATCACCTAATAATAAAACACAATTGTTCTACTGATCTCTTAAGTTCGCTGTTGTATCGCTTCGAAGTATTCGCTTATATCGCCAATTCAATACTGACTCGGTCGTGGTCTATACCGTCCTTATATAGGGCCTCAGATAGTTTCCAGAACCTTCTACTGTAGAAACATATAGAATATTCAAGTACATATCGGTCCCGAAATTCCTAGAAGGATCTTGACTCTCCTAGTTCTGCTACTCAATACTAGAGGGCGCTAGTGGTAACTAGTGTCGACATGTACCATGTATTAATCGTGGCGCGCAACATTATTAAGAATATGCTGCTGTCAATTTCCTGTTTTCATTTTCCGTCTGTTAAAACACGGGATTATCATTATACATAACAATAATAACTCTATCTCTAACTCTGAGTATTTGCACAGACACGACCTAGTGCCAGGATTTCTACACCAGGAGCTCGCTCTGAAATACGGTCTCGTGGATCGGAAACTGCCTTATTATAAGTACTTGCCGGAAGCCGTGCTTGAAAATGACCGCGCCAGGCTCTTCTGGGACTGGGCCATCATCACAGACAGGATTATTCTTGCGAATAAGCCTGATATTGTGCTAATGAACCGGACACGGCCAAGGATATTTTTGGTCGACATTACCGTTCCGTATAGCGAGAAACTCGTGAAAGTTGAAGCAGATAAAAATACAAAATATCTGGACCTGGCTCACGAGGTGACCGACATGGAGTGGTCTGCCGACCGAAATTATACCTTTCTTGCCCATCGGTTGTCGGTTATTCGAACTATATGAACGGCCCATTACCACTACACCTTACTGATCCGCTGGGCTTTGTCGGTTACTCTGGTTCTACTGCTAATATCCTCATTTCTAAGTTTATCACGCAGAGAAACCATGAGCATAGCCCTCTCCATAGCTCGCTGAGCGACCTTGAGCTTCCTCATACGGACAGCAGTATCAAATCGTCTCAAATCCATAACTCATCACTGGCAACGCGCACTAGTTGTACAATCTTGTTTTCAAGTTTTGAAGTATACCTGACGAGAAGATGTGTAGTAATCTCCTGAACGCTACCCAGCCGTGTTGAATCCATCGATTGACCTCTCGGACAAAGTTGGACCTACCTAGTCTGACTATTTGTCCCAGATTATTTGTAAACATACTTGTCAACAAATTTGATCAAATTTGATCTTAGTACTCCGTGTAGTGGCGGGTAAGAATACCCACTACTCCATATCTTCCCGTGGGTGTCGTAAGAGGCGGCAGAGGGAAACTGAGACAAAAGATAGGCAGTGGCATCTTTCTAATAATAGCAAATTACAATAAAAAAAACTGCAGTTGCCTACCCGCTCGCCAAGCGTGGCAACTGGAAATATACCTCCATGACAAAAAGACTGCCACCAGACCCGGCGGTGGCTACGGTGGCGACCATGGTAACGGCGGAGCAGGGGCTGTTAAGAATCTCCGGTGGAGATTTGGTTGCCACCTAAGACAACTCGACCTGGCAACATACAACGCACGTACCCTGAGGACTGAAGAGAAGATCCTAGAGCTGGAAAAAGAAATAGACAAGTTACGCTGGCATATCATAGGATTATCCGAGGTCCGCAGAGAGGGGGAGGACACGGTAATCCTCGAATCCGGAAACTTGTTCTATCACTGGGAGGGCGACCATCTGTCCCAAGGTGTCGGATTTATCGTCCACAAGTCTCTCGTTAACAACGTTGTAAAGATTGTGAGCGTGTCGACGAGGTCATTCGGCTTTACGCACCAACCTTGGCACATCCCGATGAAGAGGTGGAGAAAATGTATGAGGATATCTCTAAAGCCATGCGTTCCTCCAAAACCGACTATAGCCATATAGGCGAGCTGAGGGTAGGGAAATTTGGTATAGGGCAACGGAATCCAAGGTGCAGGCAGCTGGCCGACTTCATGGAGAAAGAGGGACTCTTTATGAACTCTTTCTTCCAGAAGCGGCCCCACAGAAAGTGGATCTGGTTGAGCCCCGACGGTTCGACAAAAAATGAAATTGACTTCATTGTGACGACCAGACGACAACTGTTCAGTGATGTCTCAGTGATCGCGAGGGTTAAAACTGGTAGCGATCACCGATTGGTTAAAGGCACACTGAACCTAAACATTAAGGTGGAGAGTTCTCGTCTAATGAAGTCAACGCTCCGTCCCCCTCGTGCTCTAATCCAGAGTCCCGAAACCTTTCAGCTCGAGTTACAAAACCGTTTTCAGTGCCTAGAAGATTGCAATGCAGTGGACGATATGAATGACAAGCTCGTGGAAATTATCGGAGCTAAGTTCTGCAAAACCCGCCACAGAAGACCACAAAAACTCTCCAATCATACTCTAAATCTCATGGCTGTTATACGGGAAATGAATCTGCAGTCTTTAACAGATTTGACAGCATACATCCAACTGAAGAGACAGATCTCCAAATGCGTGTGGTGGGACTTATGCAACTTCAATACAGCTCGTATTGAAGAAGCGATCGAGTGGAACTATTGCTCCAAAGTGTTTGCCAGAGATCTGTCTGCCTGAAAGAGTCAGAGTCTGTCAAATCCAAAGACCGAGTGTGACAACATCGTTTCCGGGACACCTGACATTTTGAGTGAGTTTGAGAGGTTCTATGGACAGCTATACACGTCATCGTTGGAGCCATACGCAAGTGTGTATAACGATCAAAGAGCAAGTCTTATCCGACACTATTCCGATGATATCCCGGACGTCAGTCTGAGCGAGATTAGGATGGCTCTCCGGCACCTTAAAAACGGCAAAGCCCCAGGCGAGGATGGAATTACAGCGGAGCTTCTGAAAGCGGGTGGAAAAAAAAGCCAGTACTTAAAGTTCTTCAGAAGCTCTTTAATTCCGTTCTCCATGGTGGCACTACACCGGAGGCGTGGAACAGAAGTACGGTGGTCTTGTTCTTTACGAAAGGCGACAATGCTCTCTTGAAGAATTACAGACCGATTTCCCTTCTGAGCCGCGTCTACTTGCTGTTTTCGAGAGTCATTACGAATCGTCTCGCACGCAGGCTTGATGACTTCCAGCCTTCCGAACAAGCCGGTTTCCGAAAAAGCTTTAGAACCAAAGACCACATACACACCCTTCGGCAAATTGTACAGAAGCTTGAGGAGTATAATTTGCCACTATGTCTGGCGTATTTGGACTATGAGAAAGCCTTTGATTCCGTCGAAATTTGGGCGGTGCTACAGTCCCTTCAGTGGTGCCCTACGACGGCTAACCTAAAACAGAACCAGATCACGAAACCTATCCCCGGGTGACGTTATATCCCCGAAATCTTTACCGCTGCATTGGAAAATTATTGTACGTGGTAGAGCCATGCTGCAGCTATATTTCGGGTATAGTTGTAGCACGAATGGGTCGGCTCGACCGGGGAAGGACCACGCTCTCACAGAATATCAGCGTAAAATAGCAGCTTAATGCTGCTGTGTTTCGTATGTGTAGAGAACCGGAGACCCTATTTACTGGAAAAGAGGCATTCCATCTTAGTCCTCACGGGTGCAATACACAGCTGCACAGTGGCAGACTGTACCTTTCGCCCTTCTGTACGATTTTCCGAAGGGTATGTATGTGATCTTTGGTGATAAAGCTATTTCGAAAACCACCTTGTTCGGGAGGCTGGAAGTAGTCGAATCTGCGTGAGAGATGATTCGTAATGACTCTCGAAAACAGCACGTGGACACGGCTCAAAACGGATATCGGTCTGTAGTTCTTCAAGCGAGCGTTGTCGCCTTTCTTGAAGAATTTCCTCCTCCTTTATTTCCCTTATAGTTAGCGTACGGAGTATTCCTAGTAGACTATTGTAAAGAAAATTCTCAGTATGAGACTACTTGGTAAAATTATTGAGTATACCCCAAAAATACATTTGATAAATAAAATAATTCTAGATTGCTTATTTTTCCACCTAAAATATAGATCTTTTGTGAAAATTGATATATCACTTTCGCTATTTATCAAACTTCGATACTTCTAAATCTATATAAAGATGTTGTGAAGTGTATTTACGTAACGCAGGCAGCGTGTGGGCGGGCGCCAAGTTGTCCGGCGAGCGCGGCGCGGCACGGAGGTTCGCGACAGTTGTGGGCGCTCGAGCTGCGCGCTCCGCCCGCGCCTGCGCGCCCGCGCGCTGCGAGTGCCGCGCCGCGCGCCTGCACTGCCGGCCCTGCCGCGACACCGACCCGGTCAGTACCCGCTGCGCACTACACACTGCTCACTGCTCACTGCTCACTGCACGCTACACACGCTCCGCCCGCGCGCTGCGAGTGCCGCGCCGCGCGCCTGCACTGCCGGCCCTGCCGCGACACCGACCCGGTCAGTACCCGCTGCGCACTACACACTGCTCACTGCTCACTGCTCACTGCTCACTGCACGCTACACACGCTCCGCCCGCGCGCTGCGAGTGCCGCGCCGCGCGCCTGCACTGCCGGCCCTGCCGCGACACCGACCCGGTCAGTACCCGCTGCGCACTACACACTGCTCACTGCTCACTGCTCACTGCACGCTACACACGCTCCGCCCGCGCGCTGCGAGTGCCGCGCCGCGCGCCTGCACTGCCGGCCCTGCCGCGACACCGACCCGGTCAGTACCCGCTGCGCACTACACACTGCTCACTGCTCACTGCTCACTGCACGCTACACACGCTCCGCCCGCGCGCTGCGAGTGCCGCGCCGCGCGCCTGCACTGCCGGCCCTGCCGCGACACCGACCCGGTCAGTACCCGCTGCGCACTACACACTGCTCACTGCTCACTGCTCACTGCACGCTACACACGCTCCGCCCGCGCGCTGCGAGTGCCGCGCCGCGCGCCTGCACTGCCGGCCCTGCCGCGACACCGACCCGGTCAGTACCCGCTGCGCACTACACACTGCTCACTGCTCACTGCTCACTGCACGCTACACACGCTCCGCCCGCGCGCTGCGAGTGCCGCGCCGCGCGCCTGCACTGCCGGCCCTGCCGCGACACCGACCCGGTCAGTACCCGCTGCGCACTACACACTGCTCACTGCTCACTGCTCACTGCACGCTACACACGCTCCGCCCGCGCGCTGCGAGTGCCGCGCCGCGCGCCTGCACTGCCGGCCCTGCCGCGACACCGACCCGGTCAGTACCCGCTGCGCACTACACACTGCTCACTGCTCACTGCTCACTGCACGCTACACACGCTCCGCCCGCGCGCTGCGAGTGCCGCGCCGCGCGCCTGCACTGCCGGCCCTGCCGCGACACCGACCCGGTCAGTACCCGCTGCGCACTACACACTGCTCACTGCTCACTGCTCACTGCACGCTACACACGCTCCGCCCGCGCGCTGCGAGTGCCGCGCCGCGCGCCTGCACTGCCGGCCCTGCCGCGACACCGACCCGGTCAGTACCCGCTGCGCACTACACACTGCTCACTGCTCACTGCTCACTGCACGCTACACACGCTCCGCCCGCGCGCTGCGAGTGCCGCGCCGCGCGCCTGCACTGCCGGCCCTGCCGCGACACCGACCCGGTCAGTACCCGCTGCGCACTACACACTGCTCACTGCTCACTGCTCACTGCTCACTGCACGCTACACACGCTCCGCCCGCGCGCTGCGAGTGCCGCGCCGCGCGCCTGCACTGCCGGCCCTGCCGCGACACCGACCCGGTCAGTACCCGCTGCGCACTACACACTGCTCACTGCTCACTGCTCACTGCACGCTACACACGCTCCGCCCGCGCGCTGCGAGTGCCGCGCCGCGCGCCTGCACTGCCGGCCCTGCCGCGACACCGACCCGGTCAGTACCCGCTGCGCACTACACACTGCTCACTGCTCACTGCTCACTGCACGCTACACACGCTCCGCCCGCGCGCTGCGAGTGCCGCGCCGCGCGCCTGCACTGCCGGCCCTGCCGCGACACCGACCCGGTCAGTACCCGCTGCGCACTACACACTGCTCACTGCTCACTGCTCACTGCACGCTACACACGCTCCGCCCGCGCGCTGCGAGTGCCGCGCCGCGCGCCTGCACTGCCGGCCCTGCCGCGACACCGACCCGGTCAGTACCCGCTGCGCACTACACACTGCTCACTGCTCACTGCTCACTGCACGCTACACACGCTCCGCCCGCGCGCTGCGAGTGCCGCGCCGCGCGCCTGCACTGCCGGCCCTGCCGCGACACCGACCCGGTCAGTACCCGCTGCGCACTACACACTGCTCACTGCTCACTGCTCACTGCACGCTACACACGCTCCGCCCGCGCGCTGCGAGTGCCGCGCCGCGCGCCTGCACTGCCGGCCCTGCCGCGACACCGACCCGGTCAGTACCCGCTGCGCACTACACACTGCTCACTGCTCACTGCTCACTGCTCACTGCACGCTACACACGCTCCGCCCGCGCGCTGCGAGTGCCGCGCCGCGCGCCTGCACTGCCGGCCCTGCCGCGACACCGACCCGGTCAGTACCCGCTGCGCACTACACACTGCTCACTGCTCACTGCTCACTGCACGCTACACACGCTCCGCCCGCGCGCTGCGAGTGCCGCGCCGCGCGCCTGCACTGCCGGCCCTGCCGCGACACCGACCCGGTCAGTACCCGCTGCGCACTACACACTGCTCACTGCTCACTGCTCACTGCACGCTACACACGCTCCGCCCGCGCGCTGCGAGTGCCGCGCCGCGCGCCTGCACTGCCGACCCTGCCGCGACACCGACCCGGTCAGTACCCGCTGCGCACTACACACTGCTCACTGCTCACTGCTCACTGCACGCTACACACGCTCCGCCCGCGCGCTGCGAGTGCCGCGCCGCGCGCCTGCACTGCCGGCCCTGCCGCGACACCGACCCGGTCAGTACCCGCTGCGCACTACACACTGCTCACTGCTCACTGCTCACTGCTCACTGCACGCTACACACGCTCCGCCCGCGCGCTGCGAGTGCCGCGCCGCGCGCCTGCACTGCCGGCCCTGCCGCGACACCGACCCGGTCAGTACCCGCTGCGCACTACACACTGCTCACTGCTCACTGCTCACTGCACGCTACACACGCTCCGCCCGCGCGCTGCGAGTGCCGCGCCGCGCGCCTGCACTGCCGGCCCTGCCGCGACACCGACCCGGTCAGTACCCGCTGCGCACTTCACACTGCTCACTGCTCACTGCTCACTGCTCACTGCACGCTACACACGCTCCGCCCGCGCGCTGCGAGTGCCGCGCCGCGCGCCTGCGCTGCCGGCCCTGCCGCGACACCGACCCGGTCAGTACCCGCTGCGCACTACACACTGCTCACTGCTCACTGCTCACTGCTCACTGCACGCTACACACGCTCCGCCCGCGCGCTGCGAGTGCCGCGCCGCGCGCCTGCACTGCCGGCCCTGCCGCGACACCGACCCGGTCAGTACCCGCTGCGCACTACACACTGCTCACTGCTCACTGCTCACTGCTCACTGCACGCTACACACGCTCCGCCCGCGCGCTGCGAGTGCCGCGCCGCGCGCCTGCACTGCCGGCCCTGCCGCGACACCGACCCGGTCAGTACCCGCTGCGCACTACACACTGCTCACTGCTCACTGCTCACTGCACGCTACACACGCTCCGCCCGCGCGCTGCGAGTGCCGCGCCGCGCGCCTGCACTGCCGGCCCTGCCGCGACACCGACCCGGTCAGTACCCGCTGCGCACTACACACTGCTCACTGCTCACTGCTCACTGCACGCTACACACGCTCCGCCCGCGCGCTGCGAGTGCCGCGCCGCGCGCCTGCACTGCCGGCCCTGCCGCGACACCGACCCGGTCAGTACCCGCTGCGCACTACACACTGCTCACTGCTCACTGCTCACTGCTCACTGCACGCTACACACGCTCCGCCCGCGCGCTGCGAGTGCCGCGCCGCGCGCCTGCACTGCCGGCCCTGCCGCGACACCGACCCGGTCAGTACCCGCTGCGCACTACACACTGCTCACTGCTCACTGCTCACTGCTCACTGCACGCTACACACGCTCCGCCCGCGCGCTGCGAGTGCCGCGCCGCGCGCCTGCACTGCCGGCCCTGCCGCGACACCGACCCGGTCAGTACCCGCTGCGCACTACACACTGCTCACTGCTCACTGCTCACTGCACGCTACACACGCTCCGCCCGCGCGCTGCGAGTGCCGCGCCGCGCGCCTGCACTGCCGGCCCTGCCGCGACACCGACCCGGTCAGTACCCGCTGCGCACTACACACTGCTCACTGCTCACTGCTCACTGCACGCTACACACGCACCGCCCGCGCGCTGCGAGTACCGCGCCGCGCGCCTGCACTGCCGGCCCTGCCGCGACACCGACCCGGTCAGTACCCGCTGCGCACTACACACTGCTCACTGCTCACTGCTCACTGCTCACTGCACGCTACACACGCTCCGCCCGCGCGCTGCGAGTGCCGCGCCGCGCGCCTGCACTGCCGGCCCTGCCGCGACACCGACCCGGTCAGTACCCGCTGCGCACTACACACTGCTCACTGCTCACTGCTCACTGCACGCTACACACGCTCCGCCCGCGCGCTGCGAGTGCCGCGCCGCGCGCCTGCACTGCCGGCCCTGCCGCGACACCGACCCGGTCAGTACCCGCTGCGCACTAACACACTGCTCACTGCTCACTGCTCACTGCACGCTACACACGCTCCGCCCGCGCGCTGCGAGTGCCGCGCCGCGCGCCTGCACTGCCGGCCCTGCCGCGACACCGACCCGGTCAGTACCCGCTGCGCACTACACACTGCTCACTGCTCACTGCTCACTGCACGCTACAACACGCTCCGCCCGCGCGCTGCGAGTGCCGCGGCCGCGCGCCCTGCACTGCCGGCCCTGCCGCGACACAGACCCGGTCAGTACCCGCTGCGCACTACACACTGCTCACTGCTCACTGCTCACTGCACGCTACACACGCTCCGCCCGCGCGCTGCGAGTGCCGCGCCGCGCGCCTGCACTGCCGGCCCTGCCGCGACACCGACCCGGTCAGTACCCGCTGCGCACTACACACTGCTCACTGCTCACTGCTCACTGCACGCTACACACGCTCCGCCCGCGCGCTGCGAGTGCCGCGCCGCGCGCCTGCACTGCCGGCCCTGCCGCGACACCGACCCGGTCAGTACCCGCTGCGCACTACACACTGCTCACTGCTCACTGCTCACTGCACGCTACACACGCTCCGCCCGCGCGCTGCGAGTGCCGCGCCGCGCGCCTGCACTGCCGACCCTGCC